GGGGAGAGGGGATGATGGGGTGTGGAGTTCGAGCCGCTCTACACAACTTCTAGGCGTGAGCATACAAAGCCAAACTCCTTCAACAGTAAAGACCAAATCCAATGAGAAAAAGCGCATTGTGAAAACAAGTGACTTAACCTGTCAACAAATACAAAAATAGTATTAAACCCCTCAGACTGCAGAAGTCCTTCCACAAAGTCATTGTGATATCATCCCGGACCAAATCAGGCAAAGGTAACAGCTGCATCAATCTGGTTTGCTCTGCTAACACACTGCTCAACGGTTCACAAATTCCTTCACATCTTGCTTCACACCATGCCACAACAACCCAGCAGATAAACATTTATAGGTCCATATGAAACCAGAATGGCCCCCCAACACACCGCAATGAAATTCCTGCAACAGAAATGAAATCTGAGGAGAAGTAGAAGCCAACACCTATCTGTTTTTGGACAGAAACGTGCCTTGGAATAAGGTATAATCAGGCCGAGAAGTAGGGCCCTTGCAAACCCGAACATATTTCAGAAAGTTTCGGATCCCAAACCACCTCTGCTGCAATGCTATCCACGTCCAAGACGAGGAATTGAAAAGAATGCCATCTGCATAGGCATATTTCTTCTTGACAGAGCATCCGCTGCATTATTCTCTAATTCCAGACGATATTGAATCTCAAACTCAAAACCCAGTAGTTTAGAAAGCCTCTTCTGATGCTCCATACTGACCAGACGTTGCTCCAAGAGGCAGTTCAAACTGGACTGATCAATTCGAACCAAAAACTTCCTACCAATTAAGTAATGGCGCCATTTCAAAACTGCCAACACTATTAACATTAATTCCCTCTCATAACAGACTTGTCAACTCTCCCCAGCTGAACTAAACTCTGAATTACCAACTGATTACCTACCTAGTAATCCACCAACCAACTAGGCGTTAACCTGTAAATAGCTAACTAATCAGCTACATTCTCAACCCACCTAGCATACATAAAACGAACAGTAACACATTACTTCATTACATGAAGCAGGGCAACATGCCATCACGTTCATTACTATCTTACAGCACAGAATGAAAACCCGACGCATATGACAATTAATTCCTCCAGATAAATACTGGACTAACAAAAGATCAACTGCATTTTGCAATATCGCAAAAGCCAAGTATACTTTCTCAAACTTGCTTAGAAAAAAGTCATGAAAAAACAAAAGCATGGGATTAACACACGTGCATGCGTGTGTTTGAATTTCCAAAACCACAAGAAAAAAATACTAAGTTTCAATTAATCTAGAGGGGAATAAAGGAAAGAGAACGTGGAAAACAAAATAAGCATTCCTGTTGATTTTCACATTCTTTGTTACCTTCTAAAATAAAAGACAAGGGTTTTCTTAACAGAGTCATGCACCATCCAATGCAAAAGTTGAAAGTAAAAGACAATTCATGAACATTTAGCTGATTGAAGCCTTCCAACCATTAGCTCCGGTACATCAAAAACTGTGTAGAAAGTAAAACTGTGTAGATTACTTTCCCACTTTCCACTTGTTTCTTCTAGCATCTTGGAACCGCCTCGGAATAATGCAACAGTCTTCAAAACAAATGATCTGTTGAAAACCAAAATTTGTAAGCAAAGAAAAAAAGAAGGAAAGAGAGTGAAAAAAGGAAAAGAAAAAGAAAAAGTAGCCAAATACAAAATTATACTTGCCTTCTTCTAAAAGCCACTAGATCCAACTCCATAAGACCAAACACCTAGCTTCATGACAGCTTGTTATGAATCCATGTAGGTAAACTTGTGGAGTTCAGTTTGGGACAATTTCTTAGAATAATGTTTTCAATGCAAGGAAACATTATGTTACTCCCATCTCTTCCAACAAAATTCCAAATTTTCCACTTCAGCATGTCTTCAAACGTTAGATCTTTTAGAGATCTGAATGGGACAATTTCAGATGCACCACCAGAGTAAAACTCTTCACCAACCGCCTCCACCATATAAAATCCGCTAATCTTAAGGATTTCGAGAGAGGGTAGCTCCCCAAGTGGTGGTAAGGAGGAGCAATGTATGCAATGATTGAGGTCTAACGACATTAGATTTGAAAACAATCGGTCTGTGATCCAATCAGATAAGAAACTCCCACTGTACTTTGCAATTACAAGCTCTGCCAAGTTTTTGTGAGGTTCTAAGCTATCAAGTACTTGCTTTTGTCTTTGTAGCTCAAAATAACCGTCTGTCCATATTAATACTAGTCTGTTGAGGTGCTTTTTATCCCTCAAATTGGCCATCACAACACTCTCAATGTCACGAATATGTTCAAGTCCCGATATTGTTATACTCCCATGTAGATGTTGCAAGCCACCCAAGTCTTTGATTCTTGACCCAGTATCTCCGCTTAAAACAAAATTCGATAATTTTTGCAAATTTATCATGTTACAGGTGTCCGGGGGCATCTCCATTATTGGTGTTCCATGAATATCGAGATTTGCAAGTGAGTCAAACTTACAATGTCCTTTGGCAATCGGATGAGTCGACTACAATCTGCTAGCAACAGAGTCTGCAAATATGGTAGACTAGTAATTGTGTTATCTGGTATTTCCTTAAATCCATTCCCAGATAAATTCAAGTACCTTATCGATATCAAATTTGCAAGTGAACTATCCAAACTCGTAATTTGATAGCACGCTAGAGAGAGTACTCTTAAGACTTTCACAGCTGATGTTTTCGGCAATACCAATTTGTTCTTTGATAAATCTCTTGTGGGTTCTTTTAACGATAGGAATGTACGGAGAACAATATTTTCTGATGAGACTAGTTGTTGAAACTGCATAAAACTATCATGAGCATTGATACCCCTGTTAGTACATGCCAAATAACGAGTCCTGCTCACAAGCCTCTGAGAATCGCTGCCATCTAACATTAAGGAAAATTCAGCAGACACAAACCTTGCCATGTCATGCACAAGGTTGTGCATAGCCACACATTGATCACCCTCCCTTGACTTCTGAAACAAGGATCTTGAAATCAGAATATCGATGTACTCCCTCCCAATTTCTTCCGGCCTCTTTCCTTTTATGGATTGCAAAAGATTTTCCGCCATCCATTATGAGATCAACTGCTCTTTCTCCATTTCACGACCTTGCTCAAATATAGAGCAGTATGCAAAACATGCCTTAATATGAGAAGGTAGACGGAAATAGCTCAACAACAGGGATGGGAGAATGTTATTCTCCCTCTCAGGCAACTCCCAAATCTCACTATTTAATATTGCTTCCCATTTCTTTATATTAAGTTCATTGCGCAAAATACCACAAAAAGATTTAACAGCTAGGGGAAGGCCTTTGCATCTTTGAACAATTCTTTTACCAAAATCCAACTGATGTTGAAATGTAGAGGGGTCTCTATTGTTGAAGGCATGCCTCTGGAATAACAACCACGCATGTTGATAAGATATCATCTGCAGTTGATAGATTGAGGAAGAACTAGTCAAAATGGAGGCTGCTTTCTCACTCCGAGTGGTGACTATAATCCTACTTTCAGATCGACCAAAGTCAATAGAAGTCTTCAATGCATCCCGGTAAATATAATTCTCATTCCAGAGATCATCTAAAACGATGAGAAACTTTCTCCCTCTCAAAGCATTCTTCAATTGAACTTGAAGGTCAAGTAGCTCTTGGACAATGCATGTTTGGGATGTCACTGCCTCAAAAATTCTCTTTGTTAGTCCAAAAACATCAAAGTTATTTGATACAGAAATCCATACTCGAATGGCAAATTGAGTCTGCACTCGATTATCATTGTAGACCATCTGAGCAAGGGTAGTCTTGCCAACACCACCCATTCCCACTATAGCAACTACAGAAATCCCATCACCATCAAAATTCTCGGACTGTAGCAAGTCAATGATAGCATCTTTGTCAAGGCTTCTGCCAAAAATATGAGATTCATCGACCAAAGGAGCAGGACATATTCCTTGCAAAGAGGTACCGCGAACTGCTTCCTTCAAACCAAGAACATCTTTTTGATTTGCTAAAATCTTTAATCTTTCAATAATGCTCTCTATCTGTAGTTTTCTAGCAGTAAAAAATGCATTAAGAGAAGTCACTATCTCTTTTAGTGAAAGAGAATTGTTGGCCTGCGACCTCAAAGCTTCAGCTTCAATCTCATAAAGTAAGTCTTCTGCCTCATAGATTGCCTCTTTTAGTTCATGAAGCCAATCTCTAATAACCGGGTTTCCATGTTGCTTCTGCTCAGCATCATCCTTTATAGCATGAACAGACAATAACACAATCTTTAACCTCTTGAGAGGTTCTTTATTTCCCTGGATGAGATCAAGAAACGCCCGAGAAAATAATCTGTTAAACAAGACTGAAAGGCTAGAAGAAAGACATGCCCCAGCAAGAGTCTCTGGAAGAACCATATTTGAATAAACTTTTCCGGCCCTTTGCTCTAGAGATTGGGAAGCTGTTCATCAGAAAAGAAAGGATCACTGCAAGAATATTAATAGTTAAGAATGATTTGTCATAACCAAAAGAGAGAAGTGTTAAAATGGTAAAAGTAACATTAAAAGTTCACCACATGCTTGAATGTAACCAAAAAAAAAAAAAAAGAAAAAGAGGAAATATAGGGGCAGGACAACAAGTTTAGCAGCAAGGCCAGAGACATCACCGTAAATGTAACAGAAAACATATAGATACATACACGACAAAAAAGGAACTAAAAGAGACATCATCAATGGTTTTTTTCCTTCCAATTTGGATATAATCTATTGGGGTAAACATGTTAAATAAGGGTTGTTCAATGCAGATAAGAATCTGGAGCCTAGATTGGATGAAAGAGGTAGGAGTGCAGGTGACATGGGTATTGGCTAGAAGTTAATGAATAAGATGAACATGGTGTCAAGGTGGTGAAGAGGCGTCAGATGGGAAGGCTGAGGGAGATGAAAACTCGTTAATGGATGAGAGTTGCCAAAGGCGCTAAGAAATGGAATAAAGAGACTTCTGTTCACGCTGGGGCCAAGTTTACAACTTGCAGACAACATTGAGTTATGATCAAACGCATACAATATAAAAAAATAATAATAATAAAAAAAAAACCCCCAAAAGATAAGAATAAACCAAAACAAAAGACCTAGTGCATTTTTAAAAGCAGCAGAAAAGCAAAGCTTCCTACATATGCAGATTTGCAAGTGTACACTTGATTATGATAGTTGACTAAAATCTATATTACCTGCCTGCACCAAAATCGCTAACTCAGCCTCACTAGCACCAAATCAGCAGCAACTATGTGTGCTAGTTGAAGGGACCACGTTCCCACCTAAATGAAAAAGAACAGCATAATTAAATTCAATATTAAAAGACATATGTAGCAAAATTATGGAACAAACAATGACCAAATGAAAACTATATGAAAATTCAATAACATAATAATCCAAAAATTCCATCACTAGCTAAGAACTCAATAAAAATCAAAGAAAGCATATAAAGGGCACTGAATTACAATCATGTACCCTTGGGGGGGGGGGGGGGGAAGAATACTACGATTATGGTTTATTGAATGAAATACCTCAATGTTGTAAAGTGCAATCTTCCAATCAAATAAAGATGCTGATATGATGAAAACTGTAGTTGTTGTTTGCTGACAACTCAGAGACAATCTAATCTAAAACAAAATAAAGAAAGGGAGCAGGGTTAGCATCACAATAGAAAACATGAGTTCAATCGTGAAAAATACTGGGCCAATGGAAGTACAAATAAACGTGACACGTTAACACAATCTATGTCCCAACCATATAAAGTAAGCAAATAAGCTGTCATCGTCACAATCATAAGGTACATAACTAGCATTTTAAGATTGAGACATGCCCAAAAGACAAATCCACAATTAACAACCAACCAAAATGACTGCAACTAAAAAAGTTCATTCTTTCTCACGTGTACATCCGAAGTGGAAATAAAAGAAAATCATAATAAAACTGACATACTAGTCTCACATTAATGCTTTGAATCTGCTTAGCATTTATGACCAGAAAAGGGAGAAAAATGTGGCAATTAACAAGGAAGCTATTAGTGGTTTAGATATTAATAATAAGCCAAATATATTTCCAATAAATAATAATAAGCTAAATCTTTATTTAAGCTACGAGGGCCTGAAACATTTAATTGCATGCAACATTGAGTTATGATCAAACGCAAACAAAATAAGAAAAAACCAAAAAGATCTTGTACATTTTTACTTATAAGCAGCAGAAAAGCAAAGCACCCTACACATGCAAATTTGCAAGTGGAGTAAAATCTGTATTACCTGCTACACAAATTACTAAATCAGCCTCACTAGCACCAAATCAGCAGCAAATATTTGTTGGAATTGTAGGAAGGGGACCACGTTCCCACGAATCCCACCTAAATGGAAAAGAACAGCATAATTAAATTTAAGGAAAAAAAAATATGTAGCAAAATTATGGCACAAACAATGACCAAAAGAAAATTAAGAAAGCTATATAAGGCAATATATTACAATTATAATATATTACAATTATGTACACTCCAAAAAAGAAAAAATAATAAGAAAAAGAAAAGGTTAAAGAGGATTAGTAAATCAAATACCTCAATGGAGTAAATTATAATTTTTCCATCAAATAATGATGAATTGTATTTGGTGCTTGCTGACAACTCAGAGGGAATCTAATCTAAAACAAAATAAAGAAAGGAGCAATGTCAGCATCACACTAGAAAACATGAGTTCAATCATGGAAAACAAATAATAAATTATAATAATATTGAGCTAGTGGAAGTATAAATAAATGTGACACATGAGCAGAAAGTATGTCCCAGCAAGAATTTTAATATTGACAAAAAAATACCCAAAAAAATATTACAAACCCACCATTAACAACCAACCAAAATCATAAATGCAACAAAAAAAAAGTCTATCTCACGTCTGCATCCGAAGAATCAGGAATTTGGTAATGATTAAGAAAATCCTATTTAAACGGATAATACGAGCCTCCCATTGATTCATCATCTCTCCTAATTTAAAAGAAATTAATTTCTATTTCAGTTTCCTGGGATAACAAACATCGAATTTTCTTGGAGAACAAAACTTGGTAGTTGTGTTAATTCCATCACTTTAACCCGTTTCTATTTCTATTTCCATCACTTTAATTCCATCACTTTATTTTCTCGGAGAACAAAATAGAAATAATGGTATTTAATAATTAATAAAATATGTGTATATGTGTATTATATATGCGACCAAATTGAAAGGAACAAAATGGCTCATATTCTATTGAAGATTGCTAGTTGTGTTATTCTAATACCCAATATCCGTTCTTCCATTAATAAAGAAGAAAAGTAGAAAAAGGATTGACTCTCTTCTCTCTTATCTCCGTCTCTTTCTCTCTCTGTTTCCAACAATTCACTAAACACGATTGCCTACAGCCAGAAGAAAAGAAAACATCTTTCACTACCAGAAGAAAAAAAATCGACGCTTTCTCTCTCTCTCTCTCTCTCTTTGATTCTTTCGTTTTCTCGGCCTGACCTAGAAAGTTCAAAAATTTTCCGAGAAAGTGCGTTGTACAATAAGGAAGAAGAGATGGAAAGAGAAGAGAAGACAGGAAAGAGGATTGATTTCGGAACACTTACCAAATCAGATCCAGGGTTCGGAAAAAAAAATTAACCCAGAATTATCAAAAAAAAAAAATTATCAGCGATTTTGGAGAGGAGTCGAAGGAAATAGGAAGGAGAAAATGAAAACAAGAAGAAGGAAAACGATGAAAATGCGTTTTCAAAAAGCCGGAGATAAGCCGAGAAATGAAACTGGTGTTTTCAGTTTTGTTTTCTGGAAAATGTGGCTCCAAACGTGATTTTCAGACCATTTTCCGTTTTGGCTCCTCGAAAAACGTGAAAAACGTTTTCAAGAAGAGTTTCAAACACACACTAAAAGTTTCTTGATTGAAATGAAGAAGAAGAAGAAGAAAAAGTTGGTCAGCTCATTTCTAGGGTTTGTGGAATTTGGATTTCAAGAGAGCTCTGTTCTACTTCTGGGTAAAAAAAAAAATTCTTTCGGTAGAGCTCTGTTCTACTTAAGTTTCTTGATTGAAATGAAGAAGAAGAAGAAGAAGAAGAAGAAGAAGAAGAAGAAAAAATTGGTCAGCTCATTTCCAGGGTTTGTGGAATTTGGATTTCAAGAGAGCTCTGTTCTACTTCTATATACTCCTTCTGGGTAAAAAATTTCATGAGACTTCAATATTATTTTTTGGATTTCGTCTTGATTAGGGCCCAAGAAAAGATTTTGGATGACTAATGTAGTAATCAGGGGATAAATGACGTTTAATTTATAAATTAAAATTACGTAATTAAAATTATTTTTAATTTATATATATTTTTTATAAAAAAAAATATTATAATAAATTACGAATTATAATTTAAATTAAAAAATAAATTTAAATACCAAACATTCTCGTCTTATTAAATATTAAAAAAAAAAAAAAAAAAAGAGGCAACTAGCAACCATTTTTTCTTATATTTTCTTTTTTAAAAATATATTTGCCTAAAATTTATACGAAATACACTTATGTTCACGGAAATAGATATCTGAACTGATATTTTGACAAAAAGGAATTTATACCTAATGCTATTTTGACATCAAAAAACTGAAATTTCAACAAAGTTTTTGTCCATAAATAGAGTTAAGTAAAGAATTACCATCATACTATGTTTGCATTTTGCAACAACCAATGTATTCTAAATCAACAGTACACACTTAGCACATTTGTGAGAGATATGTAACTCATGATTTGTATCAACACTTTTCGAGCAGAAAAAAGATAAATATATCTTCATAAGTGAAAGGTTTGGTCTTGATCTTATATCTGATTAGGATAACTATTTTCAGTTTATAGTTGTCTACCAATATGCTTACATCTATTAAAAAAAAAAAAAAAAAAAAAAAAAAAAAAAACAAAGCTCAATCTCTTCCATAATATTGATCGACTTTCGGTATAATCATACCAAGTAGAAGAGATGATTAGTTTAACCTGTCGATCACCACTCCTAAAACCGTCAAACTTTAACTTATATTTTGTTTGGCCGGGGGATTCGTACCCCGATTCGAATTATGGTTCGCTAGAGTATTTTTTCTCACAAAAAATACACGTAAATCGAAAATTATTCTAATTCATGAATCAAACGTTAGTTAAGATGTTGGGATGTTGGCTATCCTATCCGCACCATATCACGAGGGTTTTGCAACATGTAGGGATTTAAATCACTCTGGTTTAAATTCCCGTATCAAAAGAATTCTTATTCAAACCAAGGTAATTCTAATCATGATTCTAGAACCATAACTATTAGGTTCAAATCATGATTCTGAAACTATGATTCAGAATCAGGGATTTGAATCACCTTAAATCAAGAAGAT